ATGAACGCGATTTCGGCGCGTGGTGCAGGCGAGCGCCAGCGGCGTGGCGCGCCTGCGCAGTGTCACAACGTGCGACGATCCCGAGCAAGACACATAAATATTCGCGATATATGCGTAACGCGAGTTCGTGGTATGTGAAAGTGATGCGCGAAAGTAATTTTACGACGTGAACTGTGAATTGTGGCAGAAGGCCAACGAAGATAATTAAACAGTGGCAGAGGGCCGACAAAGACAATTGAGCATAGGCTGAGGGCCGATAACAACAATTAAACATAGGCTGAGGGCCGAGACCGACAATTAAGCAATTGTAAATGTCGAGTGGCTCACGCATCCGTCGGCGGCGGCTGGTCCTTGATCCGGGGAAGTAGCACGAGCTTGCACAGCGGGCGCACGAGCTCTGAGGTGGCTGTCCGAATCGTTGCAACGCGGACCACGCCGTCGTCCCCTGGGTGCAGTCTCACGATCCGGGCGAGAGGCCATCGACTCGGCGGAGTGTTCTCGGAGCGCACGAGGCACAAGGCTCCCACGTCCGGGACGTCCTCGGTTTTGTGCCACTTCGGCCGGGCTGTCATCCCGTGGATATATTCCCGTGACCATCGAGACCAGAAGTGATCGCGCATTTTCTGAATGTGCTGCCACCGGGATAGCGTGCCGTCGGCAGTCTCCTCGAGTGAAGGCTCGGGCACGGCCAGCAGCGGGGCGCCGATCAGGAAATGCCCCGGTGTGAGTGCGGAAATATCGTCCGGGTCGTCAGATAAAGCCTGCAGCGGTCGTGAATTCAGGCAGGCTTCGACTTGTGCGAGGAACGTGGACATTTCCTCGAAAGTGAGTGTGCTCTCTCCGATCACTCGTCGCAGGTGATGTTTCGTGGATTTTACCGCTGCCTCCCAAAGTCCGCCGAAGTGTGGTGCGGCCGGCGGATTAAAGTGCCATTTCACACCTTCGGAGGTGACAGAATGGGCGATGTGACGGCCGTCGGCGGATGACGCGCGGAACATATCCTGGAGAACTCGGTCAGCGCCGACGAAATTGGTGCCACAGTCCGAGTAGATCTCCTCGCAGAGGCCTCGACGTGCTGTGAAGCGACGGAATGCAGCCAGAAATGCATCCGTCGTATAGTCGGAGACCACGTCGAGATGCACGGCCTTGGAGCTGAGGCATACGAACACGGCGATGAAGGCCTTGTGGGCCTTGTGCCCTCGTCCCCGGCTCGTGCGGATGAGGATGGGGCCGGCGTAGTCCAAGCCGGTCCGGAGGAACGGGCGCGCTGGTGTGACTCGTCCTCGTGGTAGATTTCCCATGGGCGGCTGCGGTGTGGCCGCTCGCCATCGCGTGCACGTGACGCACCGATGCAGCATCTGTTTGACCACGGCCCGACCTCGAGGGATCCAGAATCGAAGGCGGAGGAGCCCGAGAGTGAGCTGCACTCCCCCGTGCAGCGTTCGACGGTGGCAGGAGTCGATCAGCAATCGAGTGAGCCACGAAGATGGTGGGACGATCATTGGGTGCTTCTCATCCTGCGGTAGCGGAGCGTGCTTCAGGCGTCCTCCTACTCGTAACACGCCGTGGTCATCCAGGAATGGATTTAAGTGAACCAGTGAGCTCCTCAGTGGTACAGTGCGGTTGAAGGCGACTGCGGTGACTTCGGCGGCGTAGTGCAACCCTTGCACCACGCGGAGCCACAGAAACAGTGCCTCATCTATCTCGTCAGGTTGAAGCGTGAGCGTCGTGCGGGCGACGGAGTGTCGCCAGCGCGAGCACCAGGCCGTGACTCTCAGTAGCCGGTGCAGGGATGAGAACCTGAGTAGCATGTCAGGCTCGACTTCACTCTTCTCAGTGGCGGCTTGCACCACGACTCGTTGTTCGGGCATCTGGTCTGCGGGTAGTTCGGAGTCCTCGTTCGGCCAGTGAGAGGGGTCCTCCTGGAGCCAGGCTGGACCTGTCCACCACAAGGGATGGTGCAGTAGCTCACTTGGTGCGATCCCCCTTGAGGCGCAGTCGGCTGGATTGTCCCGCCCTGGGACGTGTCGCCATTGAGCGTCGGGAATCTGCGTCTGGATGTGAGCCACGCGGTTTGCGACGAAGGTCTTCCAGCGGGAAGAGTGCCCTCGGATCCACTGCAGTGTGGTCTTAGAGTCTGACCAGAGGAAGACAGGTGCTGTGGACAGACTTAAAGTGGTGCGATAGTGCTTTGCGAGATTCGAAAGTGACGCGGCGGCACACAGTTCGAGGCGCGCCAGTGTCACTTGCTTCACCGGTGCCACTTTGCTCTTGGCGGCCAGGATGTGTACAGCCTGGAGGTTGTCTGAGGAGACGCGGAGGTACACGACTGCGGCATATCCTCGTTCGGATGCGTCGGCGAAGCCGTGTATTTCCAAGTGCTGATTCTCGGTGCCAGTGCCGAGCCAGCGATTCACGCGGAGGCCTTCGAGCAAAGGGAGTTCCTTGAAGAGGAGCTCCCAGCGGTGAGCGTCGGCGGAAGGGAGCGGAGTATCCCAATCCAGCTGCTGCAGCCATGCAGACTGAATTAATATCTTGGCGCGGATTATGACCGGAGCGAGCCATCCCAGTGGGTCGAAGAGACGTGCGGTTTCCGCGAGGACGTGTCGTTTCGTGTACTGAGTTATCGTGCGCGGGTGTATCGCGAACGCGAAGCTGTCCTCGCTCGGGTACCAAAGGAGACCTAACGTGGTCTGACTTTCGTTCTGCCAAGAGTGCGGTTCTTGGAACAGACGGTGTTCCCGGGGAATGCCTTCTAAAGCTTCCTCGCAATTGGACGACCACTTCCGAAGCGGAAACCCGCCCGCCATGCAAAGTTCGCGAAGTTCCGTTTGCAACGCGATCGCGCCGGGTATTGTGTCCGTCCCCGTCTGAACGTCGTCGACGTAACGGTCCTCGAGCAGTGCGACGGCGCCCTGCGGATGTCGCGCCTTTTCGTCGTTAGCCAACTGAATAAGTGACCGGATCGCGAGAAACGGTGAACACGCGAGGCCGTACGTCACCGTATTCAGGAGCAGTTCGCGCAGTGTCTCGGTCACCTTTCGTCTCCACAAGATTCGCTGGAATCCGCGGTCTTCAGGGTGCACGAGGATTTGGCGATACATCTGTTTGATGTCCGACACGAGTGCTACGCGGTACCGGCGCCAACGCGAGATCACGTCGGCGAGCGCGGGCAAGAGATTAGCTCCAACGTGTAAGTGCGCGTTCAACGATTCACCGGACTTCGTGCGTTGCGACCCGTTGAACACCACTCTGAGCTTGGTGGTGGAGCTGGCCTCCTTGAACACTCCATGGTGTGGTAAGTAGCACTTCCCGGTGGTGTTGTCTTCGGTGGTGCTCACCTCCGTCATGTGTTGCAGGTCTTCATACTCCTGCATGAAGGCTCGGTAGAGCTCACCGAACCGCGAGTCCTGGACGCATCGTCGCTCCATGGTGGACAGCAGGCGCTCCGCCGGCTTGCGAGTCTCAGCCAGGCTCGTTGGAATTTTCCGGAACGGGAGTCTCACGACGTACCGTCCGGTGGCCGTACGTTCGTGGGTGCGCACGAAGATCTCCTCGCATTCTTCCTCTTCGGGCGTGAGAACGGCGGGAGCGGAGACGTCGGTTTCCTGCTCCCAGAAGCGGCGCACTAGATCGACTAGCTCGTGGTCGGCAGTGCATTGGAGTGAACTGCGGTGCCCTTCTGTTGCACCACAGCCCCCCGAGAGGATCCAACCGAGGACCGTCTTCTGCGCTATGGGCGCTTCAGGCCCTCCTTTGCGGATGCCGTCCTCGAAGATGATGGAGCAGACTTCCGCTCCAAGGAGTATCTCGACTGGATCGTTATCCAGGAACTGCGGGTCGGCCAGAGGAAGTCCCTGAATGTGTGGCCACGCTGGAGCGCGCCTCGTAGTCGAGCCCTGATACAGCGAGAGACGCGGCAGAACGAACGCGACGGCGGAGATGGTGGACCCGGTCGTGATGGAGGTGATGCTCACCGTCACCTTCCCGCGGGTCGATCCCGATTTTGAGCCGCCGATCCCGAAGATTGACACGGCGGAGTACGATCGTTTAAGGCGGAGCTGCTGAGCCAGAGATTCGGAGATAATCGATACTTCAGATCCCTGATCGATTAGAGCTCTCACGGCGTGAGGATCTCCGAGGCGGTCGGCGACCATCACCCGCGCGGTTGCCAGGAGAACGGCCTTGCTATCTTCGTCTTGACGCACTGCGGATAGTGCGCTGACTTCTGCGGGTGTCGGCTCCACGGGTTTCGGCGCGGGGACTTGAGCCTCGTGGAGCATTGTGTGGTGCCTAGATTTGCACGTCAGGCACGTTTTTGACGATTGGCACTTCGCGATCATGTGATTACCGAGGCAGTTGTAGCACAGCCGATTAGTCTCGACGAAAGATTTACGCTCGTTGGCCGGCTTGGCCTTGAAATCGTTGCATGTCATTAGGGTGTGCTTTCCTTTGCACAACGCGCACTGTGGATCGAAGCCACGTTTCGCGGCGTGAGTTTTCGCGGATCGTGTCTCTGTGGCTTTCGACGCGGGTTTCGGTTTCGCGGCATTAAGTGTTAGTATGCGCTTGGTCATAAAGTCTGTGAGTGCCGTGTGATCCGGTGGATTGATGGAGTCGCAGATGGAGGACTCCCACTCGAGACGCGTACGCGGATCAAAGAGCTCGACTACGAGGTGGTTGAAGAGGTCCATCCCGTGGGACTCGATAGGCCGGCCGATGCTCTCCTGCGCGTTAACAGCGGCCGTCGCGGCGTTGGAAATTCGGCTAAGTTCATCGGCGGTATCTCCCTTCATCTTTGCGACGGCGGTGAACGTTGCAAAGTTGGAGCGTATCAACTCCCTTTTGTTTTCGTAGTGCTTGTCTAAGATTGCCCATGCGCGTTCGTAATTGTCTCCGGTTACGTTTAACGATCGAATTAATTTTTCAGCTGTGCCTTTCACGCACGACCGAAGGTAGTGGAAGCGCTCGACGTTTGAGATGGCGGAGTTTTTGCCGATGACCGACTGGAAGAGGTCACGAAACGACGGCCAGTCTTCGTACGCGCCGGAGAAATCGCGCAGCGTAATGCGGGGCAACGAGGTCTTAGGAGAGTGTTCGTTGTTCTGCACCGGCCCAGCTGGCACTCTGGGCGTCGCGGGTTTCAGTTTGTTCGCGAGACCGGTAAGCAGACTATGCTGATGCACGTAAGTGTTCTCAACGGTGTCGACAAAATCTGTTTTTGCGTACTCACTCTCGTTGTAGAGTTGCCCGTAACATGCCCGAATGAGGTCATGGTTTGACTCGAATTTTGCCCACAGGTCGTCGAGAATGCGGATGCGGGTGCTCACAGCGTCGAGGGTGAGCTTATCTGCACCCAGCTTCCGGAGGTTGTCCATGGAACGGGAGATGCGGCCGTGGATGTCGTGCTGGCTGCTCAGCAAGGCGCTCTGGTCCATGCTCATGGCTGCGGTCGTTCTTTGCGGAAGCACTCCCGAATTCGCGGGTGCCGGTATAATCCGGCTCGAAGGACCAAAATGTTCGAGAGCGCGCGGTAGCGCGAGATAGCGCGCGGTAGAGGACGA